GAGCCCTCAGCTTGTCTCAACATTTGACAGGATTCTTTCTGACTCTAACCTCTGTCTACCCTTTTCTTGGACCATATTCTTTAAAAAATTTGTCACTGTGAATTTTTTTTTTTTTTTTTTTTTGAGAGAGAGAGAGAGTCTCACTATATACACCAGGCTAGCCTTAAACTCATGGCAATCCTCCTGCCTTTACACCTGAAAGCTGGGATTACAGGCGTGGGCCACCACACCTGGCTTGTGAATTCTTGCTATGCCCTTTTGATATGTTAATCTTTAAAAAAAATTCTCTTTGAGTTATACAACCCAAAATGATCTCTCTCAAAGACTTGAATCTATCCTTTGAAACATAAGCATCAAAGAAGATAAGCCTGTATCTCCCAGTTTCTCTATAAAACGGGCCCTAACTTGGATGGGCATCTTTCTCCAAGTTGTAAAACTACCTCTTGCCATGAAGATGGGAGAAATACATTAGTAAACACACAGGGTAAGTGACCCCGACTAACACCCTACAAGACTTTTCTGCTGGCTCACCTCGACCTTAAGATCCTTACCACTGCTGGAAGGGGTGGCGCACGCCTGTAACCCCAGCACTCAGGAGGCTGAGGTAGGAATACTGCTGTGAATTTGAGGCCAGCCTGGGCTACAAAGTGAGTTCAAGGCCAACCTGACCTGCATAGTGAGACCCTGTCTCAAAAAGACACACACACAAAAATTCCTACCGTCCTTTGTCTCCGCTGAGTTGATTCAGTCTCTGTTGCAACAACTGGAAATAAATGCTTCCTCACTTGTTTATTGGGCTATAATTCATACACAATAAAACTGACTGTTTGAAGTTGTATAATTCCACGGTTTTTAGTACATTTGTAATGCTGAAAAACCATCACCACTATCTTATTCCAGACTAATTCCCTTGCCATTAGCAGCCTTTCCCCATTTCTGCCTTCCCAGCAGCCCTTGGCAATCAGTGACCTGCTCTCTTTCTCCATAGGAGAATGACTCTTCCATATGTGCAAGAAATACATATTCAGTAATATACAGTGAGTCATGTAGACCCCTGAAGATTTTTACCTGCTGAAGTAATCTGATAAATCACAATGTAAACTCTTACAGAAAGCATTTGAAACCTTAAAAAAGAAAATAGAGCTACCTTTGCAGAACTACTAAATCAGAACTGGGTGATGATGTTATCATTCATGATAAACCTTCAAGTGTAATGTCCCACTACCCTAAGTCTTCCAGGCAGATTTACATTACAGTTGCAGAATGATGATAGGTGCTCAGTTACATGAATCTTACAACATATTTTATACGTATACTGTGACGTCTTTTTGCCACTCTGTTCTTAAAGAAATATTTAAGGTGTATTTTGAGGTAGAACATTTAAAATTTGAAAATAACGCCTTTGATACCTATACCCATCATTCAGCTTAAGAATGTAAGTGTTCCCAACACGACTCAAGCCCTGTTGGTCTTAATTCCTGACAACCACCCAGCACCCCTAGCACCGCAGTCTTGCCCAGCAGCTTCCCAAGATGACGCCCATCTCCGGCAGCTGAAGTCAGCAGCAACTCCCCAGCCTGCCACTCAGACAAGGCACATGGCTCTTCCTCACACGAGGAACTCAGATTTTCAGTGATAGAGCTCTTGATAGTCACCATTATAGGTGCAGCGGCTCCGATAAAGGAATCCAAACATGTGCGAGTAGTACAGAAAGCCATGCATGTCTTCACACATCTTTTAAACAAACCTATGCATTCCCTGGTCCCGTTCTGCATCTCACACTCTCCTGTCATCCATGCAGCCCCTTGGCTCACCTCAGACATCCTCTTCTTCTCTAGGAAATTGTTCGCCTGTGGCTCTCACGATTACTCTCAGATGCTCCTCTTTTACCTTTCTATGCATCTTTTGTCATAACTTCTCACAGTCCTTTGTCATTTCGAGCTAACTTTCTGTCCTCCCTGTAAATTGTCAGTGCTTTGAAAGCAGCTATCTTAATTTTGTGTCTCCACTCCCTGAAAAACAGTAGATGCCAAAAGAACAAAGTGAGGTGTACACTTTTACCCACTTTGAAGTCTCAGGACGAGGCTCAGCAACATAATAGATTTTTGGATCTCTTTGAATATTCTTGTGTGGGAATAATGATCCATCAGATGAGATACTGTTTTCTCTCAAGAGAGTCAATTAACCTGCGAACCATACGCCCTTGCATTCTCTCCTTCATGCTTTTGCCTTACTGTGCCTTCACCCCCACATCATTATGGAAAGAAAATAAAGAGAAAATGTTTTCTTGCATCATTGTCTTCTGTCCCCATGCTCTACTTACTTTCAGGCCTGGGTCTGAAATGACAGCCCTGCTAACAAGTACAAACACTTTGCCCTTAAGACTCGTGCTGGGGGCTGGGGACACGGCTCAGTGCTGTAGCATCTGCCTGGCATGTACGGAGCCCTGGGTTCCACCCCCAGCAGCACCAGGGAAGATTTATGCCCAGACATTCTCATGATAGTGTTATCACGTGGTAAATAAAAAACAAGCTGAAGGACAGCGATAGAGGGAAAATTAAGTGAGCCATACGTGATACATCCACATATCATATCAAGAATAATTTTCCTTCAAAGTTTATGGAAGCATGGGGAAATCATGGTGGGAAATTAGCAAACAGTAGTTTATTCAAAATAGGAACAGTGGTTATTTCTCTCTCTGTCTTTTTTGAGACAGGATCTCACTATGTGGTTCCAACTGGACTTGAACTCCCTATGTAGCCCAGGCTGGCCTCAAGTTCTCAACAATCCTCCTGCCTCAGCCTTCTGAGTGCTGGGGTTTTAGGTGTGCATCACCATGCCAAGACCTACAGTGGTTATTTCTGAGTGGTAGAAATATAGTGGCTCTGCGCTTTCTTAATTTTTGATGTTTATGATTCTGAATTTTGTTAAGTTTTGTTATATTTATAATTTTTAAAGAAAATTTTTAAAAAAACATGTCCAGTAAAAAAAGTGTTTCCAGAACAGGAAACAACAAACCTTTTCCAGGAAGAAAATAAAGGGTGTGAAGTGAGGGCAATCACCTTCCTCAGTTCCCGAACAAGTGGTAACAATTCTCTCTATCCACCTCCAAACCTGTGAGCACACTTCAGCAACTCCTTGGTTCTTTCTGTAGAGAACCAAGGACTCTGAACATCAAACAAAATTTAAAGTAGAATCCTAGGGGTAAACACTGTCTTTTTATCACCTCTAGTTCATTCCCCCCCCCCTGCCCCCGGTTTTTGTCTCTGAAAGAGGCACAGAGCTTTTTCAAAGAGCAGTTTTCAGGTAAGTGCAGAACTGCTGAAAAATACAGTGCTACTCAAAATGTGGTCTCAGTCTGATCACTTCACCAACTCTTAGGAGCTGGTTTGGATGCAAAAATCTCAAAATCAGCCAGACCTAGAATACTAGAGTTTCAGGGTCGGGGGGAAGATCAGGAGTCTGCATTTTGACAAGTTCCCTAACAAGATTCTTTGGCATACTAATGTTGACAAGAACGTCTATAATTTAGGCAACCTAGATTCTAATTACCTTCACTTCAATTGTTTAGGAAAAAGAAAAGAGAGAATGTCAGAAGCTAGTAAGTAGTGAGGTGCTAGCAAATGTTTGAAACTGTGTTTCTGTCGGGCAGGGGAGCCCTGATTCATAGCATTTCCACCTTGTAAATATCCCCCAGACCAGGTGATTCTAACTTACCCTTGTGATGTCACAAACTTGGAGCTAGGGGTGCACTGGAGAGGCTTTCAGTAGCTTGCACCTGTCAGCTGCACACTACCATGTACGACTCCTCTTGGAGTACAAAGACTCAGCTATTCATCTAATTCTCTCCCTGTTTGGGAGTGGAAATCTGAGCTGCTTAAAGAACAAATAACATTGTCTTGTTAATATATCTGAGTTGGAGGGGGGCAAGGGCAAATTTATTCCCCCAAATCCCAGAGGATGATTGATATTGCAGTTCTAAGTTCTCAAAGCACTAGAAATCAAGTTGTAAAATACAAGCCCAGTTCTGTTTGTTAGTTCTGTGACAGTGCAAGTTTTTCATTACATTAAAAATGCAAAACCAAGAAAATGTATGAGGGTTCTCAAAGACGTTGTAGCTTCAACCGTGCTGTTTGCCAAGCTGCTATCTTAATCTGTTAAAACAGAAACTAAAATATCTCATGGAACTTCTTGGTTAAAAAGAGGAAGGACACCCTTGAGAAGACTTCCCATTGTATTTTCAAATGATATTTATAACCTTCTGTGTATCAGTATTGCTATACCTAGTCCAAGAGAGAAAAATTCTCTTCCAATTCAGGTAAATGTCTTTACATGTATAAGTTTTCTTATATAAATGAATAACATCAAACATGTTCTTGATTTTCAATATTTACTATGACGTTTTAGCAACTTGAAGCGTACCACACAAATTAGACCATGCCCATAACACACTCACGCTATCATCATCACTTTGTGACCCTTCAATGCGTTTATAATCTCCGTAAAACTCTGTTTCTGCATCTTTACTATGAAATTACAAAAAATCTACTTCAAAATTATTGTAAGATTTAAAAAGATAATTCAAGGAGAATGCTGTCTCGTATATGATAGTCATTAGTATTAAGGGCAGTAGTTGGTACTTCTGGGCCAAATTTTATTTTTCTCAACTTTTCTCCATCTATCAGACATGATGAAGTTCCAACCAACTTTCTTCTGAACTATAGTGTCATCTGATACATTTGAAGACGGAGAAAAACCAACTTGTTCAACATATATTTGCTCTGGGATATGACAAAAGATGTGCAAAGATAAACAATTCTATCTCGACATGAAGGAAAAGAGCAAGTAGAAAATAAGTAATAAATCAAAAACACTGGATGCTAAAAGAAATGGAATCCAATTTGAGTCAGTATAACTCATGCTTACTCTATAATTCTCTCTAATGTTTCAACCCCCACTTTGCTTAGTATGTTTATAAAAGGGAAAACAAAGGAACTGACCCACTAAATTCTCTTTATCTTGCTTCTCAGGCGAAGACACTGCAGAATCCATCTCATCCTCAAGAAGATTTTCTGCTTGGTAGATTTTTGTGGGTTTCCAGGCAAGCCTGGGCTCCCACAGCTGTTCAGATGTGCCTGGGAGAGGGGAAGATAGGAAGGACTGCCGGAGTGAGGGTAGTCCCTTCTCCTCAGCAAACACCCTGAGGAGTAGTTGCCCGGGAGAAGAAAGTCTCATAGAGTAAACAAAAGAATTTCAAGAGTTCAGACTGTCTTTGGTCACAGAGAAAATTCAAAAGACCTTGTGGAATTGCTTCTTATAGTATATTACAATGTAATTTTCTCCATCATTTATATAATATAAAATATTTCTATGTATCTTGTATAATTTGTTCACCATGATGGTCTGCTACATAAAGCAAATACATCCATCTCTATGGTCTGTAAAAGGAGATTTAATCTAATCAATTCAATGCATACTACTGAGAGATCTTTTAAAATTCAAATCTAACCATGTCCTTATCCTGCTTACAATAATCCATGATGACCTATTGTTAGTATGGTGGACTAAAGTCCTCCAGGTTCTACGAGACCCTGCAGGTCTGGCCGTCCTCCCTCCACCAGCCTCTCTTACATGACCTTCCCCTCACCTGCTCTACCAGTCCTTCTAAGGCTTCATGGGTTGTCTTGCCACAGGGCCTTTGTCCAGGCTATCATATGCATAAATATTTGGCATATGTCCATTTCTTCCTTTAGCCAGTAATTGACAAATTACAGTGTACCGGCCAGATTTGGTCTACTACAAGTCATTTGCTTGTTTTGAAGTACACTGTTATGGGACACAGCCATGTCCACTTGTTTCTCTGGCCACTTTTGTGCTATTCCCACAGAGTCAAATAGTTGCGACAGAGACCATAGAGACTGCAGAACATTAAATATTGATTGTCTGCCTGGTATTATCCACCATTAAATACACAGCATTTAGAGCAGTGCAGGGATATAGCTGATATTAGACAAATGAATAAAGGAGTAATTTGCCGATGATAACTACTCACAAATGGTAATTCTCTTTCTTAGATGCAGAACCTCATCTCCAACCTAGGATTCCTCCTTTCATCACCTGCCTGGTATCAAGAACCACTCTGAGCTAAGTCCAATGCTAAAACATCAGTTGCATGACTTCCTGATTTTTTATATCTCTCATGTCAATATCCCAAATATTTTGTTTTCTTATATGTGGAAGCGAAACAATTCAAAACAAAGTGTGATTTTCTCTGGTCATTTTGTCTTTTCTAGTTCTCTCTTTTTTTTGAGACATGGTCTCACTATATCACCCACGCTGGCCTCGAACTCACAGCGATCGTCCTGCCTCACAAGGGCTGGGTTTACAGGTGTGCACCACCACACCCAGCTCTTCTCGTTTTCTTTTTACCAACCATCTTGTTATTTTCTCATAGCAACATCATCTTAAAAATGTTCCCGGTTTTGGGTTACTTTTGCCAACCAGTTCATAATGTTAATTGCCTTCTATACAAACTCGAATTACAGTAATAACCATGGCTGTCGCTGCAGTTTGTAATTATACACATTAATATGGAATTTTAGAACATTAGGGGAGGAGGATGTGGACCCAAAACACAGAGCTAAGCAGATGCACACGAGCACTCAATAGTATGCTTTTGCTCTTCCGGACTTTCCCCTGCCTTTCCAGTGAGAGTGGGGGAAGGTCCTGGAGATTGAACAGCAAGGCCTTTGCACTGAGCTTCAGTGCTGACCTCCTCTCCCACTTTTTGGTGTTTGTTTTGTGTTTGAGACAGGGTCTCACTAAGTCACTAAGGTGCACAGAATGGACTCAAACTTGCCATCCTCTAGCCTCAGCCTCCCAGAGTTCTGAAATTATAGGCACCAACCTGGCACTGCGTTTTCCTTATTAATTCTTGGTTATGGCCCCGTGTGGAAATGATAGTAATGATATCACTAATGATAACTATATCTGAGCCCACAGCAGGCTTTGGGCTCACACTGCCTGGATAGAAACCTTAGCTCCACCATGACTTAGCTGTGTAACCTTAGGCAATTATGTAACTCCTTTGTATTTCATTTTTCTCACCTGAACAGTAGAGGTACAATAGTAGTCTCAACTAGAATTATTTGGGTGAAAATCATGATAGGTTACATGGAAAACATCCAGAATAATGGCTGACAGAAAAATGGTAACTCACTACTCTGAGTGGGAGCTGAAATGTGTGTGTGTATTTTTGGACTCAGTTCATGTCTCTCTAAATGGAAATACTGGGTTAGTTTTCACAATGCCTCCCTTCTACTTTGGTTTCTAGTGGATGTACAATTGACTGTTGGTTGACTTGGTATGTCCATACTTTCTTTTTTAAAAGTTAATTGAGTTTACTGGTACATTTTAGGTATACATAATGATCACATTCATCGTACGGAATTCGTACCTGCATATGATATAGTTTATTTTTTTCCTATCCCCCTGCCCTCCCTTCAGCTTCTCTTCCCCTCCTTTACAAAGCTTTGCTCCTATTTTTTCTTCTTTTCTCATCATTTTTTTTCTTTTCCCTTCCATCTCTCTTTGCACCCTTCTCTAGTTCTACACCAGTTTGCTACAAATCTGGAAGCTCCAGGCACACTCCCGTCTGCACTGTCAGTACGTGGACTCCATCCTGTTTTTTCCTGGCCTCTACTCGCCATGCCATCATTGCTTTGTGACTAACAGGAAATTTCCTGTTTCCATCATTTCTAATGTCTAGGGCATACTCAGTCCTGGAATACAAGACCCTTCCCCTTTGAATACGATGTCCCCACCCCCACCCCATCTTGCACATGAAGCAAAGGCTGGAGTTTAGCTCATTTTTAAACATAGCTCCACTTAATATTGGCCAAATTACATTTACGCTAGCACTGCCTGTCACTGAGGTGCAAGGCTCAAAACAACAAAAACAGTAATTGTTCCCTGGAGGCAGCTGGCAGAGCCTCAGGAGAGCTTGCTGCACACATCCACTTGGGAGATGACTAAGCAACTGTTTTTCTTATTCAGGCAAAATGTTCCAAATGTCTTGGCTGAGAAAGAAAGAGTGCTTTCACAAATAATGAGCACCTATGACCAGCTTCCCTACAGAGGGGCAGGGAACTAAAACCTGAG